ACAAAATGTATAAGTAATTGTGTGTTTGGGATTTCATTCTACAAGTGAAAGCCATTGTAATCATCAGCTGGAACTGATACAGATCCAAGGAAACTCTTTATGGGAAAGAGAGCTTGTCATCTGAAATTATTCAAAATAATTTCTAACAACCAATTATAAAATACATATCTTAAACATACTATTAACTGGGCCTAACATAAAATTCTGTGGTGTTTTCAATTGCTCATTTATTTTCTTCTCTGGCAAAGGATACCAAATAAATGTTGAGCCTGACGTTCCAGGCAAGCAGACTGCAGTATTTGTCTTTGGCTGAGTAATGAATTTGCGGAGTAACAATATGGAGTGAATCACCTGTTCTAAGTCCTCTTCTACTTAGAAATTGCTCAGCTGCACACAGTTAATTAATATGTTGTCCATTGCATTAGACTCAGTGGCCTATTGCTTGGTTCCTAAATGGTGAATTTTGTTCTGGTCTCCACAGTTGTTAAGTTACAATTTTTTCCTGTGGCCAGAGTAGAATTATGCTCCTAAAGTGAATTTCTGCATCTTGTTTCTCAGATCAGTTTTTCTAAACTATTTTGTGCCTGAAGTCTAATACATCTTCTTTCTGTATAATACACTTACCAAGGAGAAAATACAGTACAAAAAGGAAAGTGTTCTTGACTGAGTATTTGAATTAATCTTATTCTCAGTTGTGATAGCTTCAAAGATAGACAGCAACTTTGCTTGTGAGATTTAAAAAACAAAAAGAGCAAATGCTTTGCTAGAGCAGAGAATGATGAAGCCAATTTCTCCAGTATCTAAACAAGAAAATATGGGGAAAGCACCTTTAAAAAATTGCATATAGAATTTGGAGAATTCCCAGGGAAATCTGGGAAGCTATTCAATTATACAACCCTATATAGGAAGTTATTCAGTACTTTATATAGGGACAAATTTCTGAACTCTGTTTGAAAAACATCATTATTTTTCCTATTAGGAATTGTAAACGGCTCTTTCATTTACAAATAGATTCATTTGTATTCTGCAAAATGTATTAATGTTTGTTTTAATTCTTGTTTTCAAAGAACAACCACATTAATTAGAATGGTGATATTGAATGAATAACAATTATAGTGCCACCCTGAAATGCTGGAGCTGGACCACTGCCAACATTGAATAGATATCTTGGTAAACCACAAACTATATGAGGGACTCAATCTCCTACCTGTAAAATGGGAACAATGAATCATATATATCTCAGGGTTGTTGAAAAGGGAGCTAAAATGAAGTTTGCAAAGAACGTTTCTTATTTAAAAGTTATATTTCAATGAATAATTATAACTTTTTCATTATAATTATTTATCCATAACATTTTTTGTAGTGTAGTGTGATTTCATTTTTGTATTAACTTGGTTTTCTTTAGTGAGTTGGAAGATAAAAGCTGTATGGAAACATATGATCTGCCTGTGGGAAAACCTAACTGATAAAATCTGAGGAGCAGTGAGAAGTGTATTTTGGCAGAATAGAGTATCTGCTCCCAGTCACATGCCTGATGTCTATATAATAACTATATAATTCAAGTAGGAACATTCAGTGTTATATCATTTATCCATTTAGGAGAGTATTCATGCCAGAAAATTAAGGGTCACGGGGAAGAGTTATATTCAATGTATTAGAGGCTATGAACTCCAGTTTAAATTATGTTTCAGAAACATCTCCCCTTCTCTATGTTTCTGATAGGGAGTTTTAGCTTCAAAAGCGCCAGGGATTCAAGAAAGTTTGTTCTAGAAAATGTAATCAAATAAAAGCAATATTTTAAAGCCATGTGTAATGAATTTGTAATAAACTTCATCCCAGTATTCTTCAAAATTATTCATTCTATGAAAGGTAGAACTTGAAAAGCAACCCATGAACACGGCATCCTTCTCACAAAATGCCAATATATGGCGCCAGTAACTAGAATATTGGTACGAATATGGAAAATTTGTCTTCAGATTCCAACTCAGTGGGTTGTCCTGACCAAATCATGTTTTTCATTCTAAAGCTAATTTTTCACAACAATGTCTATAATGTTCTTTGAAGAAATAACAACAACAATAATACCACCTAACCTTTCTGCTCTGACAAATACTAACATTATGCAACTATGGAGAGCCTTGTTAGTGTTGAATCTTACAGATTTTCTAAACTTGGAGAGAATGGAGTCACACAAACCCAGATAATATATTACATAGCTTGGAAGAAGTACAGGAGAAGGTCTTCTTTCAAGTGTCAGAAGGACAGGCCTCATATTTAAAAGGACCTCTTGTGCAAATTTTAACAGTTGGATGGGTTCATAAAAACAGATGGTTCCTGATATTGTGAGATCCTAAATTCTTCAAGGCCTTGAGGGTTGATAGTAGCACTTTAAATTATACCCACTAAATCATTGGCTGTAAGTGCAGATCTTTCAGTGCAGGCATCGTATAATTCCTGTATTTTGTTCTGTATAGCATTCTAGCTAACACATTTTGTATTTGTTTCAATTTCTGTAAACTTTTCAAGGGTAGCCCAGCATTGATCACATCGTATGGAGTGCATTGCAAAACTCAAGACAAGATACTGTAGAACCAAGGCATGGATGCCAAGTCTGATCATCTCAGGAAGGGATGATATGATACTGTAGTTGATGTAGTAGGCCCAGCTGCATAAATGGGCTCCATGTCACAGCCGTCATGAATTCAATGACAGCTGAGGGTCGAGGAGTATTTTCAAACTGCAAACCTGCCCTTTCATGGGGATTGCAAACCAACCAAAACAGTCTAAATCTCCATCTCAAAGTCTGATTTCCTATTTATCAAAAACAAATCATTTTTGGTCTGGATTTAATCTCAGTATATTCTTCCTCATCCAGGACTTTATCAAATTTAAGCAGCTTTCAAGACAGTGATTGCTTGTTGAAGTTGGATAATAAGGAGCAATAAGATTGGGTGTCAAAGCTCTTAATGTATTCCTCCAGTTTCAGTTTCATATAGATACCAAACAGCATGGGAGACAAGTGCAATCTTGTAGGATACAAGCATACTTTCTGGATACAGCAATGACAGTAAGGACCTGAACCATTATAAAAATAGCATTCCCAAATCACATCTACTTTCCAGCATAGGTCATCCACCAAAACTACCAAAGCAATCTCAGTACTGTATCCAAGCTAAAAGCTTGAATGAAAAGGGGGCGGATAATCTCTAAATATATCCTCTAAAACAGGACTGGACATCCTTTTTGGGGGACAAGAACCATTGTTTGCTTTATGTGGCATGCTGAGGCTGTACTTTCAAAAGTGTGGGGGGGGGGACATAAATTAATTTACAATACTTAATTAAGCACAGTGGATATGTTCTTGTACATAATCATTTTCCCTTCTGTCAATTAAAATTACAAATGGTGACAATCTTTGGAGAGACTCTTGGGGCTATACCTAAAGTTCAGGAGGCTACATGAACTTTTAAGCCTTTAGGTTGAGCACCACTGCTGTAAAAAAATATGCACACTTTCATAAGAAGTAGTACCTATTGTTTGAGTTTTGCTAAAAGGGCTGTGTAGTGTGAAAACAAGGGACATGCTTACCCAGTTTTCCAAATTATCACTTACTGTGAAGGCATCCTGACTGTGTATGATAATGGAGAGCTGTAAATGTACTTTCATAATATTAGTTGTGGGCATAGGATCCAGCCCAAAGGAGTTTACACAGGACAGAGGCAATGCTTCATTCCTTGCTGATTTCTAATAACACTGATGATGCTACTACAGTTGTCATGAGTTCTCTTTCTCACAATGTCTGTTTCTTTTCCCTTGTGGTTGTGAGAACCAAGACAAAGACAAATCACAGCCATACTGGGATAGGATGTACTTTCTTTCTTTCATCTGGCTGTCCAGCATTTTTTCCTGCTTACTGCTTCTCCATTCATGCTGCCTGACAAATAGTTAATGGTAACTTTAAATGTTAGGATTTCTATATAATTCCTTAAAAACTAAATCATACCCTTTTTTTAAATCCTTAGACAAGCATGGTCTCTGTTGAAGGATTAGCAAAACTGGTTGATCCCTCCCAACTAACAGAAGAGTTTGAAGGATCTTTGGATTACAATCATGATGAATGGATAGAGTTGAGAGTTTCCTTGGAAGAATTTTTCAATAGTGCCATCCATTTATTATCCAGACTAGAGGACCTTCAGGAAATGCTGGCTAGGAAGGAATTTCCAGTGGATGTGGAGGGTTCAAGAAGATTAATAGATGAACACACACAGCTCAAGAAGAAAGTAATTAAAGCTCCGGTGGAAGAATTGGACCGTGAAGGTCAACGACTATTACAATGCATAAGATGCAGTGATGGTTTCTCTGGTAGGAACTGCATTCCTGGCAGTGCAGATTTCCAAAGTCTTGTGCCAAAGATTACCAGTCTTTTAGATAAGCTGCATTCAACCCGACAGCACTTGCATCAGATGTGGCATGTTCGTAAACTGAAACTAGATCAGTGCTTTCAGCTTCGACTTTTTGAACAAGATGCAGAAAAGGTAAGATATAGCCTTTTTCTTCTTGACTGTTACTGTGAAATCAAATGGCAACAAGAAAGTTGTAGCCAAATCTATTTCTCCATTTTACCAAGATGAAAAATTAATCAGGGATATAAATCGCAAGTTCCTTGTAAAGAAAAATTACTGAACTAATTGTTGGAATAGCAAGGAGCGTTAGAGCCAAAAATTGTTCACTTTTGGTTGTTCTGATAAAAGGTGATCTTCATGCAGTGTCCTGAGCTGATGTGACAAATCTCAAATTATTATTATTTTTTTTTCATTTCACAAAACTTGTTAATGGAAAGCCATCAGAATCAGAACTGTGGAACAATTTCCACTTGGGAGAAGTTATAAAAAGGAGACTTGGAAAACAAAAGAAAGAAGAATCATATACATGTTGAGAAACAGGTCCATGGGCATCATACTGTCAGCAAGCTGCTTGGTTAAGTGCATGTGGTAGCAGCTGAATCCCAACATTGTAAACTCACTTTCTAAATCAGGGATGAATAACCTGCAGTCTGTAAACCATATACTGTGAGAGAGGTGTACACAGAGGGAGGTAAAAAAAGAGATGGAGGCTACAACTGCATGATCGAAGCCCTCCCCCTGAGGATACTCCTGTTCTGTGTCTAGCCTCATTTTTGTGTTCTTCAGAGCCACTCCTAGACTGTGGTTCTGAAATTCACCAGTGTGATTTCTGACGGGTTATTTACAGAACCAAGAAGCAAAATAGGTGCATTAAGTCTTCATTAGACTTAGGACCCCTATTTTATTTAAATTCAAAAGCCTTCATCACCCTCCCACCCGAAAAATTGATGCTGCCTACTCCAATTTTGTCAGTACATCATTGCCCCACTCTTTGTGGCCCAAAGAGGCCAATTGTGTTTTTGTTTTTTAAAGAATAAAGTATGGCCTGCAAATGCCGAAATATGGGCATCACCCTTATCTAAGTGATGAATAGTTTAACCATGTCTTCTCATCATGATGATGGAGATTAATGCCTCAGGTAACAGAACTGGGCAATTGTCCTGTTTCCAGTCAGGGTAAATAATACTGGATGATTTATTTTATGCAGTTCACTGAACCATAATTGACTAAATTTGTAAGGTTTTTGTAAAACAACAACAACAACAAACTATTACTGGAGTTTGTCCAATAGGTAATTATCCTTTAAGTCTTCTATAGTTCTTCAGGTTTTTCTAGACTTCAGTGAGGCATGACTGTAATGGTATTATCAAATCTGTTCATAACAGAAGTTTCTGATTCAAGCAAAAGATGATGTAATATTTTTTCAGTGTTACAATTTCCACACTTTAATACAGTATTTGGCCTAGGTCATTATTGTTTCTCCTTTACCGGTGATCATTGTTTTTTAAATGCCATAGTATTTGAATCTTTCCACTTTCATTAAAGTTGATTTATTTGAGTATTTTATGCCACCTGTAGCCCTTCATAGTAATAGCTTGTTTTCCTAGCAAAGAAGTTGCTCACCAGATTAATTTTGGTTAAATCTTAAAGTTAGATGTCAGTAAGATGTACCTGTGAATTTCTTTAGACATGATTAAAAGCTAAGTGGCCTCAGATAGTTTGGCAAATCATCATATATGGGGGAGAAGAAGCATCACAATGATCACAGAGGAAGGGAGTAGAACTCAGCCTTAGTGTGTGTGTGTGTGTGTGTGTGTAAAATATGTATATGCAGTTCAATCAGCAGAGAGGCTTTCATCTTCTAGATGTTCACCTCTAAAACCATGACTCAGTCATCTGGGGTGCATTAGCTGAACCACAGAAGGTTGTTACATATTATGCATCCTAAATACAGGATGGCCTGATTATGTCACATTTAACCTATAGGATAAAATCTGTGACATTTGTTGTTCATGTTATTTCCTCACGAGAGAGAGAGAGAGAGAGAGAGAGAGAGAGAGAGAGAGAGAGAGAGAGAGAGAGAGAG